CGGTCAGCTAACCGAAATGGCCACTCGATTAGCGGCGACAGCTGCTCGACAAACGCTTGCAGCAAACAGAGATGCACTGTTCGTTAATTGATACTTGTGAGGGTGTTGTTACCATCATTTCAGTTCATTGTTGTTTTTTAATGAACACTTATTAATTACTTTACAGTTCATGAATCGATCAAGCTAGTCACAACCAAAGAAACATTTTGATTCGCGCATCTTGTATCAACACAGTGAGATCACTGAAAATCGCTTACCGAAAAATTTGGGAAGCAACAAATTAGAACTTTCAAAATTAAAACTAAGATTTGGAAGGAAATACAAATCTGATTCCGTTGAAGAATATGGAATCACTTTCTGACATTCCACTGTACCTCATAATCATTTGATCGGAGTGATTTTGACTTGAACAAATTAACTTGTCCACGTTGAATTCGATCTAAAGATCAATGCAATAAGGAACCAACCACATCATTGACTAGCTCAACGAAAAGGATTCATTTGAGCTGACTTCAGCTAATGACTCAATCGTTCACCTGTCTTCGATTGATTGTCATCGGGTCGATATAAAGAGAGTGGTATTTCAATTGAACAGAGTGAAAATTTTGCAGTGAAAGACCTGGACGACCTGAAGTCGGTCCGATTTCACTGGACGCTCGTCCGTCTGAGATCATCGGACAATCGCTTACGAATGCCGTTTCACCAACCATCTCGAAACTTATCGATCAAACCGATACCCTCAATCGGCTGCACCCACTCTATAACGCCAATCTTTCACCGAACCCAAATGCTCCTGTATCATCGGAGAACATTACTCCCATTTCATCAAATCAACCCGACAATCAGCAATTTGTTTCACCCGATCTGAGCGTTGCACCACAAAAACCAACGCCGAATTGGCTGGGCAATCTTGACAACGATCTGACTCGAAATTCAATCATTCGATTGACCGAAGCATTCCTCGGTTCCCAGGGCTCATCAAAGCAGCCAACATCAAATCTTGCTTTTGGTTCCAAGCAGTTTCAAGCGGATAATTTCAAGCATCCAAACACGAACGGCGACTTGTTCCCAACAATTCATCAGTTAGCACCTGGTGCAAGCAGCAATTTCGGTATACCGAAAGGCGAAGGCAAGATCTTTCCATTTAACATTGTTGAATTCTTCTCAAATTCACTAACGACGAAATGGGTTAGTTCAATATTACAGACGATAACGACACTTATTCATCAGATTATTGTCCTCAGCCTGAAGCATTCGGTTGTTGAATGAACGTTCACTAAATTTTCATCCTGCAAATGCCTTTTGATCGACTTAGATTTTATGACCGGAGTGGGTCAGTCCTCTAAGAGACAATTCAATTATCGCGTGTAGTAGTCAACGGAAGTGATTTTAGGTTGTGTGCCGTTTTTAAGCGAATTTATGCAAGTTCTCTACGGTAATTGCGTTAAAGAGTCAGACGCTAAGACGTGGGACTTATGGGGCGGACAAATCTTTGATGCCTTACGAGGAGGAAAAATGGATCTGCTCAAAGCATCGTAAGTTTTTAACTCCTCTGTAAATACCACCAAAATATTTGAATATGAAAAGTGTCCAAATAGTTACATTCGTCGAAAATCACTTTGTGCAATTGTTTCTCTGCTGACGATGACAACATTCTTTTGCGTTTAGAAAATGAAAGTTCACCTGCATTGTTCAACGTCAGTAAGTTTGCCATCGGGCATTTGCCCATGACAAAAAATCTGGATCATAGCGTAGCCTTCCGCACATCAGCAATTATATTAGTGAAAGTTATCAGCGATGATGCGTTATGCAAAACCGGTAAATGAGTCGTTAAAACGAGATTAAAGTTGGATGAAATTTATGAATGCGATTATCAAACAAGTTTGCGATTATCTGTGATGCGCTCCGATGATATTGAGTGCAAATAAATCGCGCATGCTACATACATACTCTATGTTGTTCAACGTTATTCAATGTCAAAANGTTCTTGTTACAATCGTGCAGTTGTATCTGAGCAAGCAATTTTAACGAACATACTTGATAAGGAATGAATTTACCGAATTTCTGCAATTTGAAACGCATCAGCAAGTCAGAATAAAACAGTCTATTTGAATAAATAGAACGGAATAGAACAGTCAGAACTTCGTCTATTTGAACGCGACCAGTCTATCCGGAAGCCTCAAATTGGGAGCATGGATGAGCAAAGATGTTACTGGGTGTAAGAAGAGACAGCTCTTTGACATTCTGAATCCAATTAGTTTCATGATTCTTCACTTATGTCGCTTATTATGTTGATTTCTTAATTGCTGAAGCACACAATTCGGTGCGAATTACTCGAAAAGGCAAAGAAACGAACAATTTGTGAGTGATTACCTTGAAGAGATTTATGTGAGTGGTTTGTGATAATATTTGAATCGTTCAATGTTTATTCCAACCTGGCATTTCAGGAAGGAAACGTGTAAACGCGGTGTTGAACGACAGCAATGCGGTCAGCTACGACGAGCAATCAGTTCGTGTGATATCTTAGGCTCATTACAAGTCACTATGGAAATACAACGTGCCATGAAAAGATGTGACGAAGTTACTGGATTGTTGGATCAGGTAATCAAACCTTTTAGAATTACACTCGAATGAAGTTAAGCATGTAGCAAGAACTGCCGATCAAGCAATGTGATCATCTCAAACAAAGAAACTACATTTCAATCTATACATAGAAGCGAATTTTACCCATTTATTCCCGCTTTCTCTCTGTGAATGTTCAATCGAATACACATTCTGAAGCGAAATGTTATTTGCTTCTACGAAAAGTTATTTCAACAAGATTTGGGAATCCATTGAGACTGAAGTCATTCAAGGAGGAATATTCCAGAGTATAGTTGTGATATTTTATTGAGTTAAGATGAAAATATCTGTTCGATAATAGAGTAACGTCAGTGAAAACATATAATGAATAACTTAGTAATTGTTCTAGATTCCTCTCCATTATCAGNTTAACTTTGCTACGCGCATTTTGAAATAGATTCAGTTTTTTTTTTCATGAAAGTACAGTTTGAAATTTCCAGAATCCAATGGCCGTATTGAATCAAATAAACAATGTTATAACTGGTGAAGTGGCGCAAGGATTCCTGCACAAATTCCTCGGCTAGAGTCACGAGAACAGATGGATCTTGTCTCATCCACGGTTGCCAGAGATTGATCAACCGTTCTCTATGTAGATATATTGTCGTTAATCAGAAATAAATTATTCACATGTATCTCTGTGTATTCTCTATTCATTGATTCTTATTGAATGAGATGGGAGAATTGTCGACTTCGGAGAGAATTCGAGGGCGTTGGAGCAAATCTGGAGGTTGGCAAATCACTGTTGATTGATTTTCTATCATATCTGCCCCACAAGTGCTCAACAATTTTCTCAAATTGCGTACTTGGTCACAGGAAATTGAGTTCATTTGTAGCTGGACTACCTGGATTGGCCAGGCTATCAAACGTTTATAACGTTGCTGGCCACAATGCTCGCGTTTCCGTGCGCATTGTTTTAGCCTCAATTTACGCAGGCCAACCGAACACAACCGAGTAATTAATTAGTTGCCATGAATATTTTGCATAATTAATCGTAGCCAAATATCGATCCAACAAATAATCATAACTCTACTAATATATTCTGCCGATCGCTCGCAGCGATTGACAGAACAACCACTCGACGTCCAAGTAACAATAAACAACCGAGTTCATTTGTACCGGTTTCAAATTCATGACATATTTCTTAATCGGTGAAGTGACTTCTTGATTTACTTCGGATTTATCATAAAGATGCAATAGGGTATCAGAGTTGAGGGGAAGGTAATATATATCATTTATATACATCATTGTAATGTACACAAACACCATTTCCTGGGAAATATAATACATCTTCCTTCCTAAGTTTTTCTCTCAGGACAGAGAGAATTTCAATTCCTTCAGTATGGATGGCAATTGTAACTACTGAACACTGATCACGTCAAGTAGCACAACCCTCGTAATTTATCAACTGGCGTCAAAGCTTACAACTAGTGTAGCTTTCTCGAATACTTTTGTTAGTGTTGTCTACAAAATGGTATGCATCTTGTTTATGAGTTTTCCCTGTCAAGTGGTTAACAGTTTCAATTATTTCCTGAACTTTTGCACTTCAAGCGAAACTGAAAATTTCGAGTATATCTTATTGCTGCCCATTCTGTTCATTAAATTTTATTCTCATGGATCTGCGCTACAAAATGATAGACCCTCTCAATGGGTAAGAAATTCACATCAATGCGAGATCTGTCACTTGGCGAGCTGCGCTCCATTCGCATTTGGCGAACTGTCAGCTCACCTAGGGTGGCATAAGTTGGCCGTACCGCTGAAAACATTTTTCACAGATTTTTGCGCTCAGCAAAATTGTTTAGCAGTGGCAGCAAAGGAAATCAGTGGATTTTCAGAAGCGAAATCTAGAATTTTTATCATATCGGAGCCTGGCTTTTCATCCAGAATTTTATTTATCCAGATTTACGACCACTGAAAGGCCTAGAAGTGTGCACTGGATTCACGTTCACACTACGTGCACTGGATTCACGTTCACAATGCGCACATTTTAATTTTTATTCCACTCACTAACATCAGCTGTCCGGTCGTGAGGTTGAAGAGTGTTTTTGAATATCCTTTCCATTTGTATTCTTCGTTTCTTCAAATTTCTGTCTCGATATTCATCGTTACGACGTAAAAATTGTTTCGTCCCTGATTATCCTTCATTCATTTTATTCCAGGTATAACACTGTTCAAGAACAACTTCAATTGTGATGTCGATAAAACTTTCTGAGTAAGTTATCTGTTGTGTCTTTCTGATGGTGTTTCTTTAATGCCCTTATTTTTATCGCAGACCTCATTTTCCTTTATATTCGCCGACCTATTATAAACTGTGTAAGTCATCAGCAGCCATTTCGGTTATTTCCATTAGTAGTACGAAGCCGTTGATATTATTTCGCAATACCGCAGTGGCTTACTTCAGGCTCTTACCGGCACCATCGGCATCTAATGATGAGTGGTCAAACACGCGCAAGGACCCGTGGTTTCGTGGCAAAGAGGTTGCAGTCTTCATTCATTTTTATAACGTTTGATTGCCGAATCCTTGGTGTGTTGTTGTTTTGTTGGATTTGTGAGCTGATTGCTTCGAATTTAGTAATTGCTAATTATTTAAGGAGGCACTGGTGAGCAGTCGTGCACCTTCGACAGCTTTGGTCATTCGAGAACCTCCACCGTACGGAAAGCGTAAAGGATGGACACCTCGTTCTCCTGAAGTGAGATGTATTTGCATTTTTTTNTTTTTTTGCATGAACGGTTGTCGTAGATTCTATTTCACTTTCTGAAGTTGGAAATTTTCTCACCTTGATTTTATTTCGCTGAACCTTGGCTTGGATTATTCATTTATGAGTGATCGCCGAAAGGGTCATCGGATCAACTCTTTTGATATATATTTATATTTGAGTCGCAAGGACTGCTTCGAAACTCGATCAGTCAATGTGGTTTACTATGTTCTTTTATGATATCTTAACGTTTAACTGCTCGGATTTTCCTTTTCAGGATTTCGGTGATGGCGGTGCCTTCCCAGAAATTCACGTTGCCCAGTTCCCGTTAGGTTCGCAGTTTTTTGGAAAAGTTTTCCTGATCTTCTCTTGAAATTCTCGTGGAGTTTTTTAATGTGTTTATGATTATTTATGAGTGCAATGTACGACTGATTGAAAACTGATAGTAATATGAAGTGATAATAATAGTATTGCTAGTGGTGATAATGGTAATGATGAAAATTTCGACAATTACAGATAAGCTTATTCCAGGAATGGGTATTGACATACAACGCAAGTCAGGCTCAGACAAAACGATCGCGTTGCAGTATGATGCCGAAGGAAAATTGCGGCATGATGCAATTGCGCGCATCGGGCATTCTAAGGATAAGGTAGGCTCATCTTATCCCATCGAATAGGAGATACCTTCTATCACATGAGTTTTATGCGTTCAACAATCTTTTGATGTCTTCATGAGCTAATTGAGCTGGAGTTATATATTTTTTTAAATACAGCGTTTATCAGCTGCGGACTCACGATAGAATTGTTTCTTATTTCAGATCGTCTACTCAAGGTTATCCGATATGAAATCGAAAATAGTTGATGAGGAAGATGAATCGTTCCAACGGCCAGACGAAGAATCAATTGCAGAAAAAACCGAAGCAACGCGTTTAGCACTGGAGAAGATCACTGCCTCGAAAGTTAGTTCAGATGCGATTCGTCATCATTTGAAGTGGTCATCAGTGATTATTTGAAGAGCATTTGATGATTTTTTCAAAATGTGTTGTAGGTGGCCAGTTGTCTACCGGTTCGACACGCTGAAAGGCAAGCACCCATACAATACATTCGATACACACCAAGCCAACAGGGTTCAGGCCATAACAGCGGTGCGCAACAACGCATTATTCGTATGGTTGAGGAACAGAAAGACCCTATGGAACCACCGAAATTCAAGTGATTTTCAAACTGCATCAGTATTTTTTGAATGAATTCATTGTTTCACACAGATTAATTATCAGCTCATTTTCAGTTAGTGTGACTGTTCACTGATTCCAACTTAATGCTTTCAGAATCAATCAGAAGATTCCACGAGCGCCACCCTCACCACCAGCTCCCGTGATGCATTCACCGACCAGAAAGGTTCCTTGTTCTGTTTCTGCTCGTTTCGTCATTTCATTGTCATTCATCAATATTAATATTATTCATTTCGTTTCTGACGAGTTTATCTTTCTTGATTGCAGAAATGATTCATCTATTTTCCTGATCAACTTCATCAGATTTAGTATTCTATGCAAATGTTACGTTTTTGTAATTGTCCTTGTTTGGGAGAGAAGCTGATGTTCACCATGTAAGCTTTTTAGACTACCGTAAAAGAGCAAGCTGACTGGAAAATTCCGCCGTGTATTTCGAACTGGAAGAATCCGAAAGGTTTCGTATGTTCAGCAGTGTTTTTATTTTCGTTTTTTTAACGTATTCAGTGCAATCAATTCACATGCCTTGATCTGAATTTCTATCTGCCTCTGTGTTATGTGTTGCAAAATTGGGATGTTTCTAGTGCAGTTCAAAGTTTGGTTATTTCATGGGATGACGTTCTTTCTTGAGACAGTATTCACAGTTCTTATTTAATTGCCATCGCTAATCATTATAGGTTATACTGTGGCGCTGGATAAACGTCTTGCTGCGGACGGTCGTGGATTGCAGCAGGTATGTGATAGTTTTCATCGCACTCCTACTCTGTGCAGAATATTGATATTGACCATCTAGATAGTGCAGTCATTGGGTGACGAATAAGAGCCTCATAAGGTTCAGATGTTCTGTCGGTCTTTGTCTGGTTGAATGGCCTCGACTTAGGTATTTTTGTAATTGGTTCTCGACGTGAATGTATGGGAGTAGTCAGCCATTTTTTTCATTTATATTCCAGGTGCACATAAATGAGAATTTCGCAAAATTGTCTGAATCGCTGTATTTGGCTGATCGCACGGCTCGTGAGGCAGTTGAGACGCGTGCACAAATGGAACGTCGTGTTGCACAGAACAAGAAGGCTGAACAAGAAGAAAAGATGAGATTAATGGCACAAAAAGCTAGGTGAGCAGGGTTATTGACGAGCATATTCGCTTGATGTTTTTTTGCGCTTTCGTTACTGAATACCAACTTTATGTGATTTCATTTGTTATTTGTTGATCGTAATGGAATTTATTGCGCTTGTTTTTTCTATCGGCTCATTTCGCAGTTTATCGTTGATGTGCTGTTGATTTTCACTGGTATATAATGAAGAATGTTTCAGACAAGAACGTGTCCAGATGAAGAAGGCACATGAGGGTGAAGGCGCTAATGAGGAAGCCAAGGAAAGGGAACAAATAAGGTGCTTGCTTTTCATTCACGTATTTCTTTGTTGGTTTGTGTAAACTACTGCCTCTGTGCGTGCACATCATCAGTGAGTTAGTTCACTTTTGATGACGATGAATTGAAGAAGTTCATCTTCATTATGTCCGATAATCAGTCGAGCTATGAGTTGCGACCGTTGAGTTCATTAGTCAAATATTCATTTATGTACTAGTGAGGCATGTTATTAAGTCAGATGAATGCTTCGAAAAAATTTTATATCTGAAGCGAGTTCAGCGACATCATTGATCAGTTTTTACGCGATAAATCACAGCGGTTTTAACTTTATTCTGATGCAATAAAAAGAGAGCATTTGATGAACAACTTGTGGTGCATTGTTATATAACCGTCGAGACAAATGTTGAAATGCGATTGCATCTCGATTTGTATCGCCTAACTCAGCTTTACTGCTGTTTGTTCTATCGAAAATCGGTCAGTTTCGAGTGTCAAATAAATAAATTTGTTTAGACGCGATCGGTTGGATCAACATCGTCGCGAACGCAATATAGCTCGTAGTAATCCGGATAAATTGGAACGTTTGAAACGAGGCAAAGAACGGGATATCAGTGAGAAGATTGCACTCGGATTGCCAGACTCTCGCGCACGTAACACAGAAACTCAATTCGATCAGCGACTGTTCGATCAGACTAAGGTTTGTCATTTACGAGTCTTCTTTGCGATCACTTTTCAGCTAGATATCCCCTGTGCACAACTTGAATCATCTAAAGGGCAGTCATTCTCACCCTTCAAAAACTGCCGATATAAACAGTACCTAACCACCTAGTAAAATAACCACCTAGTAATATAATTCTCTTGTCACTATGTTCACATCACGGCCATCTCCTTTCTGAGAGGAGTAATTTCTCTTGTTCGGGAACATGCGATCAACGCTTTTGAATTAGGTGCTTTCCTTTTCGTTCGGATCGATCAAATAGCCGCGAACAGTTTCGGTGAGAAATTGCTCTTGAAAAATGCCAATGTTTGTTTCGCACTGTTTATTTTTGTGTGTTAAGTTAGAGAGTTTTGTAGGGTTTGGATAGTGGTGGCATCGACGACGAAACATACAGTGCATATGATAAACCGTGGCGTGCACACGACAGCATAC